ATAAACAAAGAATTCCTTAGCATAAGTATGTCATATAAACTATCTGGAATATAATTTTACTGAAAAATTATTTGTGGCAACTCTACTCTCTTCTCCCTTGGAATAGATGTGGCCACCTGACTTGAGTTTAGCTTGTGGAAGGTACATGGGAGTAGGCTGGCCTCTTACTACCTTTCTAGAGAATCACAAAATACAGAAGTCTAGGTCCCCGGTGAGTGGACATAGGCCTTCCTTCCCAAACCTATAGAACAGCTCTTATAATTAAGCCACTGAGTTGTGGGAGGTGTTACAACAGTCAGCCTATCTTGAAATACATCCCTAAAGTTTTTTAATTTTTCCTCTCCTAGGACTGAGGATTGAATCCATGGCCTTGTGCATGCCAAGCACGTGCTCTATACTGAGCTACATCCCCAGATTCTCAATAGCTTTTTTCTTTTCATTAAGATTTTTGGTACATTTTAGGTATACAACATAGTAACATTCATCATTGGACATTTGTACCTTTATATAATCTATCTTGGTTATTTTTTCCCCATTCCACTGCCCTCCCTTCCTTCCACCTCTCCCTATTTACAAAGACTTTGTTTCCATTTTTCATTCTCATATTAATTCCATTCCCTTCTTTCCTTTTCCCATCCCCTCTTCCACTATTAGCATTTTTTTAAAAAACAGTGTCTCATTATGTAGTCCAGGCTGGCCTCAAACTCACAGTGATCCTCCTGCCCTAAGTGCTGGGATTACAAATGTGTGCCACAACTGGCCTCTATAGCTTTTCTTATCCTTTCCTTAATCTTAACAGCATATGACCCAGTAACCATTTCTTTCTTCTTGAAACTCTTTTTCTGAGGATATTACTTATTTGTAATCCTTTAATGATGACAATGAAACAGCTATCATTCGTGAAGTTCTTACTATATGCCAAGCTCTATGCTAAGTGCTTTATTCTTTTTTGTACCAGCGATCGAACTCAGGACCTTGCACTTGCCAGGCAGATCCTGTAATGCAGAGTTAAATCCCTAGCCCCTAAATGCTTTATTCATATAACTACTCTGTGTGAGAGATGCTATGATCCTCACATTTCAGACAAGAAAGCAGGTTTAGAGAAGTCACTTGCCCAAAGACTTTGTTTTTTGAGACAGGGTCTCTCTATGCAGTTCAGGCTGGTTTTGACCTATGTAGCCCAAACTTGCAGTGATCCTCCTGCCTCAGCCTCCCCAGGCTGGGATTTCAGCATGCCCGGCAACTTGCCTAAAGTCTTACAACCCCTTCGTCTTTCTCTATAAACTTCCTTTTAGCAATTTCATCCAATGGTATGGCTGCTGTAATTATCATGTGTGTGGATGGCTGCCTGACCCCTTTGCTTGTGTCCAGTTCCACTTTTCTGGCATATAAATGTGCTGCTGGCATGGTAAACTCAGAATGTCCAAAATGCAACCATTCCTTTGTTATCACTGTTCCACTTTTTTTGTTTTGTTTTGGTTGAGACAGGGTCTCACTATGTAGCTGAGACTGACCTGGAACTTACTATGTAGCCAAGGCTGGTGTCGAAATCACAGTGATCCTCCTGCCTCAGCTTCCCGAGTGCTGGGATTACAGGCATGTGCCACCACACCCGGCTTTAAATGATTTTTTTTTTTTTTGGTACGGGGGATCGAACTCAAGTCCTTGCACTTGTGAGGCAGGCAGTAGAACCACTGAGCTAAATCCTCGGCCCCTTTTCAAATATTTTTGACTCAGTTGAATTCACAGATGTGGAACTCATGAACTGGCAGGCCACATAAGCAATTTACATGTCACAGATCAGTAAACTAAGGCTCAGTATCTGGCTCAAGTTTACATACCTACGACACAGTGGAGCTGGACTTGGGGCTGATTTCAATGCCTACATCTCAGTAAAAACACTGCAATTACACTCAAACTAAGCTCTCCTTACCTATTCTACTTCCTGCCTTCTATACCCATTCTATACCCTTCACTTTCAAATCCTAACCATCCATCAAAGCCCGGCTCAACTACCATTTCTCCACAAAGTCTTTTAAGGTATTCCAAGTGGGAAGGAATCTATTTTGTATGAATTTACAGAGTACTTGTTCTCTCCCTTTCCTAAGTATACAATTAAAATTTTAATTCATCTGCATCACACAAAGTTTAAGGCAGGCTTCAGTGGTACACTCCTGTAATTCAAGCACTTGACAGGCTGAGGTAGGAGGATCACAAATTTCAGCCCAGTCTGGGCAACTTAATGACTGAGACTATCTCAAAATAAAAAAATAAGCCAGGCATGGTGGTGCACACCTGTAATCCTAGACTTGGGAGGCTGAGCCAGAATTGCTGTGAGGTCAAGACTACCCAGGCCTCTAGCCTAAAACTACATAGTGAGACCCTGTCTCAAAAACAAAACAAAACAAAAACAAACAATAAATGAATGAATGAATAGAAAAGACTGGGGATAGGAACATAACTCAGTGTGAAGGCACACCACTCACAGTTCAAACTGCTGGATGTGGTGGCACACACATGTAATCCCAGCTATTTGAGAGGCAAGAAGGTTATAAATTTGAGGTTTGCCTGGACAACTTCAAAAAAATAGCTGGAGAGCCTGGGATTTAGCTCAGTGGCAGCACACCTCGAAAGCACAAGATCCTGAGTTTGATCTCCAATATGGGGGTGGGGGGGTGACAGTGGAGGTATAATCCTGTGCTAGGGCACTTGCCTGACATGTGCAAGGTCCTGGGTTCAATGCCTTGGGCAAAAAAAAAAAAAAAAAAAAAAAAATT